AATACCACTCCCTATTTAATGGAAAAGTATGCTCAAAAAGCCCAATATAAACTGAAGTCTGTTACAGAGCAGTTTTGTTAGAAACCTAACCCTTTAGCTCCCAACATCTCATTAGCTCTTCTCCTTACTGTCCCTTTACAATTCTTATGATATTAGTTTGGAGAATTTGGTATTGGATCAACCAATAATCCACTAATTGATACTTTTCTCTATTCTTGTTACTTGTCTGCTTGGAATTGTATTGATATTGTATGGAGAAATTCTGTTTTTGTCACTTATGGGATTTAAATGATTAATAAAAACTTATACATCACAAATGAGCAGCCAAGTTGCAAACAAAATGAAAATTTTGCATATCACAGGTAAGCAGCAACATTTGAAAACAATAAGGAAATGAGGTTCACAAAACCAAAGTTGTCTCCTTGGCAGTTATATCATATCATGCAGTACTTACTAAATGAAGACTTCCCACAAGTTGTTTTTCTTCCACAAGGGAATTGGCGTTGAACCAAGCATCAAATCCTACGAAAGTGCCCAAAACAAATTAAATGAAGTCCTTAAAACTAAAACCTTGCTAGGCAGCTAGTTACCTTTATTTATTTCAAGTACTTGTAAGCTCCTTCTAAAATTTTTCTTTGTTCTGAGCAGCATAGGTGATTAGTCTTACAAAAATAAATCATTCAAGTTCCCTAATACATTTAGTCTTATTATACAGGAGCAACTTACATCAGACAAGCTAAAAACATCTGGCAATAGAAAGTTCAGCAATGACCACAGCTCATGAAGATTGTTCTGCAAAGGAGTTCCTGTCAGGAGCAACCGATTTGAGGAACGGAGTTCTCGCACAATTTCTGAGAGCTGGAAACAAGATGAGAAACATAGTGATAATTCACCAGAGCACAACCACAAAATGTTAAACCACAGAAGTAAAATGTGGCAACCACACTTGGTAGATACATACCTTAGACTTCTCATTCTTAATTCTGTGTGCCTCATCAATGATGATATACCTCCAGGCTATAACTTATTAAACACCACTTTCTCTCTTATCACCATTTCATAAGATGTTATACAAGTGTACCACTCTCCAGGGAGCATGGTGTCTCAGATAAAATGCTGCCTAAAAATATACAAAAGTACACTAACTTAGCCCTTTGACCACTAAGAGTGACTAATATCTACTTTCTCCTTACAATATCACCCACTGAAATCACTAATAAAGGTGACAAAAATAAAGAAAATGATCACCAACTAAAGAAGCTCTTGATTGTTACACAAATTCTCATTGTCAGCATGTTAGGAAATGTATAGAAAACAGTACAAAGAATATGCATACTAATATTAAAAATTTTGAGATGTTCCAGACCTTGGGTGGATAAGGAAGGGGGGGGGGGATGCCCTACACTTCCGTGTCCTTCACCCAAACCTAGTTTGGCAAGGTCTTGATTTGCTTTCCATTTTGTTTTTTTGGCAATTTGCCAGCTACTCTAAATTTGTTCCTGGAGAACACAGACATGTTTATCTCACTCTTTGCTCTTGATTGCCGAGGAGACAAACAGCTCGGATAGTTGGACACCACCTTTCAAATTCAGACTTCCAGTTAGCTAATGTGGACTTTGGCAAAATAACGAGATGAGGACCTACCATTTCTCTGAAATGCTTCATGTACCCAAGCAAGGAAATGGTCTGCAAAGTCTTACCAAGACCCTGTTACAATAAAAAAAAATTAGTTAATGTCTTTAAAGCCTGCTGGTGAATTAGCCCAAGAGCTTATTTTGCTTTTTTTTTTAGCAAGAAGAAAGGCAAAATATTATCCATCACAGATTGTCCTAACAAATTCCTCATGGGAACTCAGGACACTCAGAAAAAAAAGTGATGTTAACAATTTTCTCACCATCTCATCAGCCAAAATTCCATTGATTCCATTCTCAAACAGTGAGATAAGCCAGTTAAGACCTCTTAACTTATAATCTCTCATTTCTCCATTCTTGATGTCTACCAGAAAATACAAAGCCTTTGAGTTAATTACTGCAACATTTCACAGCACAGGACTTCTAAAGACAAAACATGTTAGTAATAGCATTTTAACTCCCGTGAGTGACCAAGACAGAATTTCTCCTTACTATATCTATAAAATGCCATGCAGGCAAGTGATGAGAATAAAGAAAAATATCAATTATGGAATTACCCAATGATCCAATACCAAATTCTCCAAGCTAACATAATGAGAATCATTTGGCAGACAGTAAAGAGAATTACTAATGAGATCTTGGGAGTAAAAGAACCAGAGTGGCTCTGAAAAAACCCTTTTACTTTTATGCTTCTATTCAGTCTTTGAACTTGTTGCTGATTTACTCACACTAATATGTGATTTTTTTTGCTCTTGCTCTTAAGCAAATACAAGCAAGTTTTTTGTTCTAGTTTAAAGGCTTGAATGTCTGTAATTACAGCATTTTGAAAAATTGTGTTAAAGTACACCTGAACATGATATGGAAATTGCCTGAGTGCTCCTTGTAACCAAAAAAATATGTTATGTCTCCTTATCTATCAGGAAAATTTCACTTACAGTGTGGATTCTGATCAAAGTGAATCTCTGATATCTGTGAGTGTTTATTTTGGCTGATCAGTTTTTCATCTTCTTCTTGCTCTATGCATTGATGCCGATGACTATGACTAGAATATTAAATAAGTTTCAAATTGAGACAAACTCTCCCAAACTCTGCAGTTAAGAGGAATTCAATCCCTTAGAACTCATTCAAGCTAGTGTTAGCTAGAAAGATTTCAATTATATACCAGTTATCTTAAGATTCTTCATCTTTCAAAATTATTTACAAGCCCTGCAAATCTGTTGTGTAAAGGAGTAGCATGTTTCATATAGCCCATTTTCAATCAAATACTTACTCCCCAGTCAGACAACTTCCTTGATCTGCTTGGAAACTGAGGTGCTTTCATTTTCAATGGACTTGTTGACTGTTTCTTTGATCTCATGGTGTTCATGAAATGAGCAAAGATCTCTGTTGGTTTCAGCAGGTAATTGAACCTTGTGGCCTTGTCTCTTTTCTAAAAACCACAAAAAGACAATTAGAGATCCTGAATATCTAATTAATACCATAACATTGTTACCATGACTATTCTCTTTTACTTGAAGAAAGCCAAGTTGATCATTTCCTATTTCACAACTCCTCAGATAAAAGAAAATTAACAAGAAATTTTACAAACTTTTATTAATTAACTAAACTTAAGCATTTCATACCTTTCCTCAGATATTTTATTGATCTGCTTTGCATCAATTTAAACTTTTCCAAAAAATTGATTGAAATAAAAAAATAAGGGGAAAATTTTTTTTAATTGATTATGACAAATGAGGTAGGCATTGGAAAGGTAATGAACACAGAGTCAGTCATCTTGTTGTCCCAAACTGATCAAACATTTTTCATTTAGCCACAGCTTATTTAACCCATCAACTTCCAAATTGATTAACATGTAACTTCTCCCTATAATATCCACACATTACCTATTAAACAGGTAAAGAGAATACTGAAACTAGAATAGAAGTTGCTATATTGATCTAACACCCAGTTCTTCTCACTAATTTACAAGGAGATGCATCATAACTAAAGGGAAGAATTGAGAATCACAACTTGGAAGTTTAAGGATTAATTTGTTCAATATGGTTAGCAGAATGTGTCTAGAGTTTGAGTCCAATTTCTAGCTTTTATTTCAAAACTAGATGGAAATTGAGTAGCTATTCAAGCTGTTTATACCAGTTTTTCTTCATATCCCTGTGAGGCACCTTTGAGTGGTCCAGGTTATGCTTTAGGTTTGGGGCCTTTTTTACACCTCCTTCATCACCAGACTAAACAAAGATATAACCCCCCCCAAAAAAGTTATCAACCTGTAAACTTACACAGAAACTAAATTATCTACCTTTCATGACTGACACAAGAAATGTCAGATATCCATTGTTTCATAAGGAAACAAACCTCTTCAGAGAATCAGTGACTTGAGAAATAAGCGATTTCTTTATCTCGTCCTAACTTTATTTATTTATGGTACACCTTGAGATCCATGGTGAAATCTCCTTACAACATGAGATTGTTACAAAATGCTTGTACAAAGATGATGAAAAGTGAATGATATATTCAGCTTGAAGACTGGCAAGTTGTCTTGATACACAAGTGGTATAGCTCCATTATAATAACATTAGAATGAAACTATAATGATTCAATAACTAGGAAACAACCCTCGATGGGTTGAAGTAAAGTAATTCTGAGGATACAATTGTCGTAGTCCAAATACAATGACCAAATGCAGGAATCCATTCACAACCACTAAAAATAAATTCCCCGGTTTAAGGTGATGCTTTTAACACGACAAAAGCTTCTGTTACTAAAGTTATACAAGGCAAATATGCGCGTATTGAAGTTTACTGTTTCACTTTAGATAGAAACAAAGACTTTCTTAGCTCCTTGGCCTGTCAAAGCTTTGTTTAGCTGCGTAAATTTCAGGTCTTGTGGATTATAGTCTCAATCCAAATTAACCATTCTTGCTAGGATAAGATCGAAAAAACTTAAACACTGAAATCAATAGAAGTGTACTGGATACATCCAGCTGAAATGCACCTGGCTTAGTTTGCATGCACGAAAGAATTGGCGTGACATGAGGGCATTTACTCGTGAAATCAGCTAACTCTAAGTTCAATTCCTGTAAATTTGCCCCTAAAATGAGCCATTCAGTAACTTATACCTCTTTTGGTGTTGTACTTTCGCTGCTGGACGATTCTCCTTCGTCGTAATAAGGCATGTTTCCAATGGAAGAGAAAAAATTACTTTCAATTCGAATAGCTGAAAAGCTGGGAAGATGATTTTTGGCGGCACACGAGAGAGGCTATTGATTAGCACCTCGAAATGCACTACGACAATTCCCACCGGCTGGGGGTACGCCCGAGGAGCACTAGTAACGAGTTTCCCAGTCAGGTGATTATCAGATTGTCTCAAATTATTATTATCAATTTGGCGGACTATTCCAGTGACACCACTTGCGATTTATCAACAGTCAAGCGACTTGATTGAACCAGACATGAACATTATAACATGCTTTACATGTGAAGAATACATAATTGAGTTTAAATCAAGGAGATTTCGCTAAATTTTGTATGGCTGTTTTCTTCACCTTCGTCGATCTTAAGTTTCTTGTTCAGCAGAGTTTTAGCTTAACACTGTAGCCGCTAAGACCTACGCTTGCAAAGGTAAACGAAACTTAGACACCAATTTTTTATTTTTACAGTAGCTTAAAGCCTCACTGGAAACTATTATATCATTTTGATTCTCTTTTTCTAAGTTCAAGATACATAAAACAGTGAAGCTCTTGGAGTGAAGGCAGACAATAAGGTTATTTATTTACTTATTGTACACTACAACTCTTTTTCAATCAGCTCTGTTTCTTGCAGGGATTGTCAGTGCTGTTATTGAATCAAAAGATGACTGAAAGCAAAGCATGGGAAAAGGGTCTTGTGATGGAACTTTTCAAATCAGATAATTTCTCGGAACAGGTTGACAACAGAGTTACAGTAATGGCTGGTTTGTCAAATAAGTTAAATACTTTAGTTATCTGCCATATGGAGTGGAATCAATGTGCAGATGACCCAGCTTTTATTTTCCGTTATTTTTAAGAATTTTACATGGTATAAAGACCATATCTCCTTCACACCTTCACCAGGGTTCAAAATTAGCTTCACAAGATGAGTTCCAAGTGACCACTAAATATTATTTTTTCCAGTCTCTGAAATTTAAATATAGAGGTTTCAATGTATTCCTACTTGTGAATAGTAACCGGTAGAGTCTGGGGTCTAGATTGCAATAGACATGAGTACCAGTGCGACTTAAATTTTCTTGCTGGCAACTAAAATTTCTTCTTCAGTCTCCACACCTTGAGTGGAAACATATCATACCCTTACCTTTTTGAGTCCCAAAGAGGAGCCAAACCTCAGAGCTTTGAATATTTGTAGTTAGGGGCTATACAAACCCTTACTTCAAGGAACTCAATGGTGAAACACAAAATCATAGGTCACATACTATTACCCAATGTGATGATTACAATCAACACCTGTTTATATAAAAGGCTGTGAAGATACCTTTTGATTTCTCCTGTGAGTCAAAAAGTTAAAGGATGGGAGGAAAGAGAGGTTCCCACCCAAGCCTTCGAGACCTTTTTTTTGCTAACTGTAAATAGTTTAGATACTATTAAGAGCTTTGTTTTTCCTCACCAAAACCAACATTTTCTACTTGCCAAAACTGATAAGCATTATTTAGGATTTTTAATAACCACTGACTGTAAACAAAGGGAATCCATTTACAATTGCAAAATTTTGTCATTCACTTTATTTTCCCAAAGGACCCATTTGATGAACCTTGTTATAAAATGAAAAAAGTCAAACTAAGCTTAGACAGCCATTCCCTCTCCCAAAATAATGTATTGCCAACTGTTGAACTGCTCCTATGCAAGTGGTCATGGCCAATCTTTCAGCTTCACCAGGAACTCTTTTCAATCTGGATGCACTGCTTTTGTTGGGTCAAGAAAGAAAATTTAAGGAATAAAAATTCAAGGATAAAGCCTTAAGATGATGTATATTGTGATTTGTTAGTAATTATATATATTAGACCTTGTTATAGGCCCTTTCCCTAGGGTCCCATAGAAAAATAGAATGAATGAAAAAATTTTTGCAACTGTGGATGAATTCTTGATATTTAGGGTCAGTAGCTTTTGATCACCTTTTTTGTTTAATAAATTGGGTTACTTGTCCCCTTTTGATTTGTTTGGTCATTTTTGTAAGTTCTCAAAGGTTACCAAATCTAACTTAATTATTACAGATTCTAGAGGACACAAAATGTCTCATCAAGCATTCCTGCCAAAAGATGATTGACAATGCCAACCATGAAGAATTTAAATTATTTCTAAAATATCTTGGAGATGTAAAGTGTTAGACACTGAAAACAAACTGGCTTCTGTATGTTATTACTTGATTTGATTATTATTGTCATTAATATTATTATTGTTTTGAGGTTGTATCTTTCAAACAGATAATGTTGCATTTGCTGTATACTTAAAGGCACTACAGTGTTTCACTCTCTATGAAGGTAAAATGTTACCCTCTTTTTTAACTGCTTTTTGTCAAATTTTTTAACATAAATTTTTTTCTACTCTTTTTCATATTTAATACCTCTTCTGAGTGATATTCTTTCAGTTACCTTTGGTTTGCAGTCAGTTAATGATATAATAATAGCAGACCTAGTGTCCAGCAACACATTATTAACATCCACTACATGTCAGTGTACTTACCCCTTTACATTGTACTTTCTTGAAAAATAAACAGTCTTTAGATTGTTTGTAATAGAGACCTTAAGCAAACCACCATGGCAACAGCAACAAAAGCATGGCCAGACAAAGGATTCAATGGGCACACAAATAGCTCAGTATGTACATTTTCAAATTTTATTTATTTCTTATCTATTCTCTAAAACAAAACCACATAAATCACCAAAACTTGTGTGGGCTAAGAACAGAACCTCTGATGGCAAATTATTTACCTCTCATTGTTTAGAACTTGATCCTGCTCTCTTTTGTTATGACAAAGATGATGTCTTGCTCTGTTAGAGAGGGTAATCACATCCACCATCCATTTAGTGGACATTTTTGTCAGCTTGCCATCCTGATTTCTGAAGATCCCTAAAGATTTCTGTGATTCACTCTCCACTTAGCTGGCTTTTTATCTAATCAACATTAGTTGAAGACTGAAGAACACACCCTTTTAAATTTAATTTTTTAAAAAACCCTTTTTTATTTTGTTTTTATTTGTGGGAATTTAAGAAGTAGGTTTTACATTAGTTTTGAAAGACCAAATATATATTTCACACTCAGGCAACCCACAATTTATACTCTCTTAGTAGGGAAGGAAATTTGTGAAGCACCTCTGATATTAAATTTTTCTTTCTGTGAAGTCCTCACCACAAATTAATGTGTATTTTTTAGATGGAAAAAATCCACTCTGAAATATATTTCTGATTAATTTTTATTTCAAATTATCAAGTTTTCTTACTGTTACAACAATCTTCATGTAAAGCCAGATTAATTTCTTCTACCTAGGAGGGACGTTGATGTTTTTAACTAGTTTGTGATACAGACTTCTTTTGTTGTGTCTGTGAAAGGTTGCTTCTCTTATCCTTTTGGTACTATTTTCATGGCTGGTTTCACAAATCTGGGATTAAATATTTTAACAAATTTGAAGTTTATGTTATTGGAAAATACTTTTTGATAATTTCTAAATTAGAAACATATTTTGCTTTTTGAGTCTACAGCATTTCAATTGATAGTATGGTTACAGCATCAAAAGCAGAGATGATGAACTTAATTAGTAAAGAAGGCTTTTGAAATTAGCTTTTATGAAGTGTTAAACAGGGCAACAAGATTTAAATTGAACTTCCTTGCAAGAATTGTGTGTTTTCACCCCATTGTCTCTCCTTATGTTATTAGCTAGAAGTTGTTCAGATTGCATTCAATTATTTTTTTCCATCTCTAAGGTGATAGTATAAATTCTCTGTACTGTTCGCTACTCAGTTCTTGGAATTTTAGCTTTCAGAATTTGGTGTTAGATCAAGCAAATACCCATAGATGTTAACTATTATTTTTCTGATCACCTTTCTGCTTAACAATGCATTGTATTGTAAGTAGAAACAACTTATTGAACACCTCTGGGAGTGAAAGGGGTTTTTTTTGTAGAGGATAACCTAAATATATAATTTCTTGGTTTTTTAGATCAGGATTGTACAGATTTTTTAATTCTTCCTTAAATGTTGAAAAGAAATGATATAAAGACCTGAAAAGATTACAGGAAATTAAAAGAAAAAAAAAGGGGGGGAAAGAAGTCTCTACTATAATCCCTAAGCAGCAACAAGTGGTTAATTCCAGGTGGAAACCTTTGTGATCTTTCTCTTGATCTTTTTAACCTAAATAATTACTCTCTGTTTCCTTATTTGTTTTCTTTTGTTTAATTAGTAGTTTATTTTGGCCCTACGGTCTTTTGATTTCATAAATGTGGGATCAAAAAACCTATGAGTGCCATATTGGATTAAGTGTGGCCAAATTTTAAATATGTGACTAAGAACTTTTTCCCATTTATGTCGTGTCTGTTACAGTTTACGCATTGGTTTTAGGTATGGAGTGGAAGTTTGTTTTTATAATTGGAAGGAGAAAATCAATAATATGAGATATGAGGAGGGTTTTAAGAGGGGTGCTGCATACCCCCACTTACAATTTTTTTGACTATGTCCTCATCCCCTGCTCATAGTTAGAGGATTAGAGCTTCTCTACTGGACTTGAGGCATTTTTCTCAGATAAATTTACTATATTTTTGTCTGATATTGAGAAGGCTACATTTCCCCTTCTCTCATGGTTTTCACTTTGGTTTGATTATTTTTAAAACAAAATGTAGCCGTTCCTTAACAAAACTGCAACCAAAAAATACTCAATTTAGCAAGATGTTAAATATCTGAACAATTATTGTGAACAGGGTAAAGAGGCTGGATAGCTAACTGTGGAATGACAGTTAATTCATTTCATAAACCCTCTTCTAGAGAAGGCCTGAAGCCCACTGATTGGGTGAAACCATGGTTTGGGTTACACTGTGTAAATAATAAATGGCCCTTTCAGTCTAACCATTGGGGCTCAACTCATCACAACGAGTAAATACCAGTTTACAACATTTATTCTACACTGATAAAAGTGGTGGTTCTGAATCTATTACAAGCACTGGTAACTTAAATTGCTAACTGTACGTTGAAGCCTGATGCCTCATCTTCAAATTTTGCTGTGCAACTTACTGACATTTTCATTCTAAAATGCTAGTAACAGTTCCAAAATGGTACATTTGTTAAAAAAAATACACTAATATCTACAAAAAGATGCAGAAACACCAAAAGATTTCTAAAAATTAGTATGATAAAAAATCTCGCACCACTAACCTACAATAAAAGCTTTTGATTAAGGCACGACGATTTGAGTTATAATTGTTTTTTGCGGTACTACTCGAACCGGATCGTTGCGATCCAAAAAAAAAAGAAAAAAACAGCCCAAAAAAAGAACTAGGTATTCTACCAAGCAATCTCTCCTGTATTACTAGTTACTTCTACTCATCTGATCGCCCTACAATCTCCAAACATATCTAGACGAAAAACTGTTCCGTGTAACAGTCTCAGGTGATCAAAATGTAAAGAAAGATGGAGAGAAGTTAGGATCGAAACTAACCAATCATGAAATGACAAAGTTTCCTGAGAGGTCCGAGGTTTGTTTGTTTTCTCTGCAGGAAGCTTTGTGTTTTTACTTCAATGTTATTGGTTCGTTTATAAAAAAGTTTGACAGCCTTTGTTCTCAATAAACATGTTCATTGGTTCATTTTTCTTCATTTCGATCCGGTTCAAATAATCTCACTGCTGTAAGCACTTTACAGATTAGTTTTTCATTTATTCACGGGCTGAGTCAAAGGGTTGAAATTATCACTGAGCTGCTTACCTCACTGCTATTTTGAATAGTAAGTGGTTCAAATAATTTCTTTTCAGTTTTTAATTAGAATTGCTGAGGCCTAAAAAATTATTAGCTCACATTTAGACTGACTATTGCTTAGTAAATTACGTGCCTTTAGCTCACCTGCTGCTGTGATGTTTGTATTGAGTGAGAGTTTTAACGTGCGTAGCTGACAGTTGTTGTTGTTGATGGCGTCAGCTAAGTGCTGTGCTCCAATGTGTGAGATGTTATTTCTTGAGAGGTTTAACGTGTGTAGCTGACAGTTGTTGTTGTTGATGGCTTCAGCCAAGTACCGTGCTCCAACGCGTGAGATGTTATTTCTTGAGAGGTTTAACGTGCGTAGCTGACAGTTGTTGTTGTTGATGGCTTCAGCCAAGTACCGTGCTCCAACGCGTGAGATGTTATTTCTTGAGAGGGTTAACGTGTGTAGCTGACAGTTGTTGTTGTTGATAGCTTCAGCCAAGTGCTGTGCTCCAATGTGTGAGATGTTATTTCTTGAGAGGTTTAACGTGCGTAGCTGACAGTTGTTGTTGTTGATGGCGTCAGCCAAGTGCTGTGCTCCAATGTGTGAGATGTTATTTCTTGAGAGGTTAACGTGCGTAGCTGACAGTTGTTGTTGTTGATGGCTTCAGCCAAGTACTGTGCTCCAATGTGTGAGATGTTATTGTCTGAGAGGTTTAACGTGCGTAGCTGACAGTTGTTGTTGTTGATGGCGTCAGCCAAGTGCTGTGCTCCAATGTCTGAGATGTTATTTGCTGTGAGGTTTAACGTGCGTAGCTGACAGTTGTTGTTGTTGATGGCTTCAGCCAAGTGCTGTGCTCCAATGTGTGAGATGTAATTGTATGAGAGGTTTAACGTGTGTAGCTGACAGTTGTTGTTGTTGATGGCGTCAGCCAAGTGCTGTGCTCCAATGTGTGAGATGTTATTGTGTGAGAGGTTTAACGTGTGTAGCTGACAGTTGTTGTTGTTGATGGCTTCAGCCAAGTGCTGTGCTCCAATGTGTGAGATGTTATTTTCTGTGAGGTTTAACGTGCGTAGCTGACAGTTGTTGTTGTTGATGGCGTCAGCTAAATACTTTGCTCCTTCATCTAACAACTGATTATTTGTGAGGTTTAACCAGCTCAGTTGAGATTCACTACATTTTAACAGTTTACCAATCTCAAGACAACCTAATGGACCAATGTTATTTTCACTCAAATCTAAATGTGAAATTTGTTGAACACTAATTACATTTACTAACGAAGAGCAATCAACAGCTGTGAGGTGACAACGAATAAAATTTACACAATTAAAGTTCATTTGTTGAAGTTTTCTCTGTGCTTCTAAGTTCATTCTGCTATTTTCGTTTAAACATTTAATTAATGTTACTGCTAATTCTCGTTCGTCTTCAGTCGGCCAGCAGGTTACTTTCCTTTGCTCTTCATTCTCAGTCCACTGTTCGTTGTAGTCTGCGCTTTCTCTTTCTTCAGTTTTCACAGGAAGAAGGTCCGTGATAATTTCAATTGGTAGGTGAACTTTATCCTCCATAAGTCCTGCTAGAAACTGAAAAACTAGCTGCCATTTGCCGTTCTTAATGTTCTCGGAAACAAAGTTTCTTAATTCTGTTTCACTCAAGTCGCTCGCCAGGTGCCTCGCAGCGAAAAACTCTTGTATTGTTAGATGAATGAAACAGAATTGCTTCTCATCTTTTAACGCGGCAGTTACACGGTCGGGTAAGCGGTGAAAAAGAGCGCTGTCTTCCATTCCTTGTACTTCGTTTCCTCCAAGGATCAGTTTTCCTTCTTTGATTCCTTCAAAGGCCACTCTTCCTAGTTTCTTGAATTTCTCCTCCACCGCCAAAGGCAAATTATCTGACAGATAGTTTTCGCGGGTGAAATGTTGATCGCGGAATTCTTTCGTGTGTTTGAAATAAAACACTTTAACCGCAATCTTGTATATCGTGGTTAATTTGGACGGCAGGGTAACACTATCGGAACATTCGAACCGCATTATTTCTGACAGACTTGAGCACATGATGAAGCTGTTCACAGGGACATAACAGAGCGAAAGTAAGTTCATGTTGCTGCTGATGTGTCGCCATAGCGTTTCGCCTGCTTGCTTGTCATCTCCGGCGAATTTGTCGATATACTCTTTAATTTGCTCGGTTGAGAAGCCAAGGATTTCAAAGCTTTTGTCGAACTTCAGATGTGCGATGCCAGACAAAGCTGTAGGTCTCGTAGTCGTTACAATTGAAGCATCTTTAAGAAGTTTCCCGGTCATAAGCCATTGATAAAGAATTTGGAGCGGCTTTTCATCTTCAATGCCTTTGGGATAAGTAGACGCCTTGGTTTTCTTTTCGTCATGTTCGAATTCGTCGAATCCGTCAAAAAGCATGAGAACACCTTCAGGGTTCTTTTGGAGGTGATTCCAGACCTTGTCATCCATGTAACCTGTAGGGAAATACTCGGACTGAATCAACAGATCCTTGAGGCTAAGGTTTTTGGCCGAGTCGAATCTTCTGAATTTTACGAAGAAAGCAGCATTAAAATGGACTTGGGCACCTGATGTCGCTTTGAAATCTTTATTCAATGCCCAGTCTCTGAGAAGTTTGATACAACATAGTGTCTTTCCGATTCCGGGTCGACCGACGATTAAAACTTTCTTACTTTCAACATCCAGAAGGTCTTGCATGCTTTTCG